GGTCTGGGGAGTTTCCTGGCCATGGACCCAAAATTTAGATGTTTTGTTCCCCGAGCCACTTAGTTATCACTTTTGCCTTATGGCAAGGTGCTCCATCATGCTGGAAAAGGCATTGTTTGTCACCAAACTGTTCTTGGATGGTTGGGAGAAGTTGCTCTCGGAGGATGTGTTGGTACCATTCTTTATTCATGGCTGTGTTCTTAGGCAAAATTGTGAGTGAGCCCACTCCCTTGGCTGAGAAGCAACCCAACACATGAATGGTCTCAGGATGCTTTACTGTTGGCATGACACAGGACTGATGGTAGCGCTCACCTTGTCTTCTCCGGACAAGGTGTTTTCCGGATGCCCCAAACAATCGGAAAGGGGATTCATCAGAGAAAATTACTTTACCCCAGTCCTCAGTAGTCCAATCCCTGTACCTTTTGCAGAATATCCGTCTGTCCCTGATGTTTTTCCTGGAGAGAAGTGGCTTCTTTGCTGCCCTTCTTGACACCAGGCCATCCTCCAAAAGTCTTCGCGTCATTGTGCGTGCAGATGCACTCACACCTGCCTGCTGCCATTCCTGAGCAAATTCTGTACTGGTGGTGCCCCGATCCTGCAGCTGAATCGACTTTAGGGGACGGTCCTGGCGCTTGCTGGACTTTCTTGGGCGCCCTGACGCCTTCTTCACAACAATTTTACCTCTCTCCTTGAAGTTCTTGATGATCCGATAAATGGTTGATTTAGGTGCAATCTTACTAGCAGCAATATCCTTGCCTGTGAAGCCCTTTTTGTGCAAAGCAATGATGACGGCACGTGTTTCCTTGCAGGTAACCATGGTTAACAGAGGAAGAACAATGATTTCAAGCACCACCCTCCTTTTAAAGCTTCCAGTCTGTTATTCTTAACTCAATTAACATGACAGAGTGATCTCCAGCCTTGTCCTCGTCAACACTCTCACCTGTGTTAACGAGAGTAATCACTGACATGATGGCAGCTGGTCCTTTTGTGGCAGGGCTGAAATGCAGTGGAAATGTTTTTTGGGGGATTAAGTTCATTTTCATGGCAAAGAGGGACTTTGCAATTAATTGCAATTTATCTGATCACTCTTCATGACATTCTGGAGTATATGCAAATTGCCATCATCAAAACTGAGGCAGCAGACTTTGTCAAAATTATTATTTGTGTCATTCTCAAAACTTTGACCACGACTGTACTTGTTTCGGGGCGGAGCTCATTAGAATAATAACCAGCATGCTTTGCAAGTGTTTGTTTTTTTACAATTACATTTTGGTCATTCAGCAGACGCTCTTATCCAGAGTGACTTACAGTCAGTGTATTCACCTAAGGTAGATAAACAACAACATATCACAGTCATAGCAAGAAAAACAACATGTCACCGTTACTCAGAATGTTATTGTAGTTTAAGTGTTTTTTTGTTTTTTTTCTGTGTATTGGGCTACTTTGAACATCATCATTGACAGATTTAAAGCTTTTGAAAAAGCTTACATAAGTGCATGTGATAGATGGGAGCAATCATCAATATTTTGTTGCGAATTACATTTGGCTCCTATTTCCTATTAAGAGGTGTGAAAAATTAATTTTGTGAAATAATGCTTACATAATTGATAATGTACAACAGTTGACATTTGTCCATAGAATCAATGACCGAAAAATACGTATTTTCAATGTCTGTAAATTAGATATTTTCAACGTAAGGAAAATATGTATTTTTACCTTTCATTCAGCACATAAGATGCACCTGATTTCAATGTCCAGAAAAGACACACTACCAGTGAAAAGTTTGAACACACATTTACATTTACATTTTAGTCATTTAGCAGACGCTCTTATCCAGAGCGACTTACAGTTAGTGAATGCATACATGTTTTTTTGTTTGTTTTGTTTCATACTGGCCCCCCGTGGGAAACGAACCCACATCCCTGCCGGCCAAACCCTCCCCTACCTTGGACAACGCTGGATCAAGGGTCTTTCTTTCTTTTTACATTGTAGAATAATAGTGAAGACATCAAAACTATGAAATAACACATTTGGAACCATGTAGTAACCAGAAAAGAGTGTAACAAATCAAACTATATTTTATATTTGCGATTCTTCAAATAGCCACCCTTTGCCTTGATGACAGCTTTGCACACCCTTGGCATTCTCTCAACCAGCTTCATGAGGTATCACCTGGAATGCATTTCAATTAACAGGTGTGCCTTCTTAAAAGTTAATTTGATTTGTTTAACACTCTTCTGGTTACTACATGATTCCATATGTGTTATTTCATAGTTTTGAAGTCTTCTCTAATATTCTACAATGTAGAAAATAGTACAAATAAAGAAAAACCCTTGAATGAGTAGGTGTGTCCAAATTTTTGACTGGTACTGTATGTTCATCGTAAGGAAAATAAGTATTTTCAATGTCCGGAAAATACATATCTTCAACGTCCGGGAAATACGTATTTTCTATTTTTAAAAACCGTATAAGACGTCTTTTCATCGTCAGTATAAGACGTATTTTCGACCTCTGAAAAATAGGTATTTTAACCTCACTCAGACAACAACAAAAGTAGCCCAATTAGCGGGAGGGATGGGGGCATCTTTTTGTCGCGCGCGGTGCTCAAGTTTATAAGGTCTGTCAGTCAAAACCTTATACAGTGCTGTTAAATGGAGAACCTGAGCTCTGACGTAATGTATAGCATGTTACTGTACAGCCACTGTGTCACGACTTCCGCCGAGGCTGCCTCCCCTCCTTGTTCGGGCAGGTTTCGGCGTTCGTCGTCACCGGCTTACTAGCTACTGCCGATCCCATTCGCATCACTCCACTTGTCATGTCTTGTCTTGTCAATCACACACACCTGGTGCTCATTCCCCTAATTAGTATGTGTATAAGTGTTCCCTCTGTTCCCCTTGTCTTTGTGAGTGATTGTTTATTGTGAGAGCGAGTAGCTTGGTTGAGCTACTCTTCTGTTTGTACTTGCCAAGGTGGAATATTTCCCTTGTATTAGTTTCGTTTTCACGCTGGGAGCGTTTGATTTATGTAAACGGAATAAACTCTGGACTTCTGTGTTTTACCTCCTGCGCCTGACTCCTTCATTCACACCTCATCACACACTGCTTTCCAATTTAGGCACTTATCAATGACAAAATCAGACATTTTCAAGCCGTATACGGGATGACGGGCTGTGAGTGGAAAGGGCTACTGAACTAAACAAACAGGACCCTACATAAGCCATATCCGCAACTGACCACAATTCTAGCTTATGTCAAGACAAGATAAACTACAAAAGTTGTGTAAATGCTGTGAGCTGATAGCAGGTGCTTTGGCTCTTGTGAAGTGATCTTTGGCCTCAGTGAGGTTTGTCGGCTTGTGTTCCTTTGAACCCCAGTCAGTCCTGTAATGCTCTGCCCTGTATTCACAGTACTATCCCTCTGTCCTTCTAGTACAGCACAGTCCCAGACAACACAGAGTTCTACACACAGTCAAACATTATCTCTGGTGCTCACAAACCTGATCAGGTATTACAAGGACCTGCAGAACCTTTGACTTCACAGTAAACAATGACGTAACTGACATCAGACTTCACATGCAATGTACAGACTTCACTTCAGGTGGGTACATATAATTAACTCTTACACATACACTCTCAGAAAAGAAAGCGCTCCCTAGAACCATAAAATGTTCTTCAATTGTCCCCATAGGAAACCCTCTGAAAATAACTATATTAGGCTCCAAGAGGAACCCTTAAACTAATAAGAGGTTCTACGTGGAACCCTTTCACCACTAAACGGTTCTAGGTAGAACCATTTTCACCACCAAAGGGTTCTAACTGGAAACAAAAAGGGTTCTCCTACGGGGATAAATGAAGAACCCTTTTTTTTAAAGAGTGTAGTAAGACGATTAAGATAGAGTAGAATGGAGGTGAAAAGTAGGAGGTGCAGGAAAGGATGGAGAAGATGAATACGTTGGGAGGCAACACAGGAGCATAGGGGAAACCTGACCATGTACTGCATATTGCAGAGTGGGTGGGGGACTTCACCTGACCATGTATTTTGCACACAGAGTGGGTTTAGGGTTTTGTGGGTTGAGAGGACACACGTGTGCTCATGTGAGTACAGTCATCAATAAGGTACATCCTCAGCGTCTCACCCTCCCCCCCCCTTCCCTCAACCTCTTTCTTTCCTCCCCATGCTTCTCTCAACATTCTCTTCTTAAACCACATCCTCTTCCCAATATGGCTAATTTGTTTTTGTGCCAGAGTGACACCGACGTCACACTCACATTCACAAATCCAGTAGAACAACAAAGCCCTTAAATGTCTCCCTGCTTCACAATGCAACCCATCAGCAAGTGGGTCAGATTTGATTAAATGACATATTAAAGTCTGAAGCCACATCCTTGGTGAAAGACAGGCAGAGCAGAGAAAGAGAGAGACTGGGTGGGGGTATAGAGAGAGAGATTAGAGGTATTGTCACTAAAGGCAATACAAATGTAAGTCATTTGATCACCAATGTCGGCCTGTGACGCATGTAGTTTTGAGTGTTTTCTATTTTTCATTTTTTTTGCCTCCCCTCTGTTTTCTTCTCTGACTGACCAAGGCCGGAAGAATCTAAATGGAATCTATTAATAGACAATGATATGACTTTGACAAACATATGGTGTGCTCCAAACCCACTAAGGTAAATACAATACACCTGGTTCATTAATCCCCTCTGTCAATATCACACAGGCACGCACACACGCGCGCACACATGCATGTTTGGCTAAACTTAATGGCATAAACGGTCAGCTGTCAGACGATGGTCAGTTCCCATACTTGACCAAACACATATAATTATTGACTAAACACATATCATTATTCAGACGTGGAAACTCTCCTCACACGTGTTTTCAACGTTTGACTAAGGAGTGCACATACTGGCATGGCCTGTTCCAAAAAGAGGAAAATTAAAACCTGTTCCAAAAAGAGGGAAATTAAAAGTAGAGTTGAATTATTCAAGTCTTTATCTTACCTTCTGTAGCATTGACAAAAGGCCATCTTTGTTTTTCTGAAGCTTCAATGGATGAAGAAGAAACTGAATTTAGTACAATTGGAATGACATGAAAATTATGTATAACAAAAGGTCCTTATCTATGTCCAAAATGATCCCTCACCCTCTTCTTGTAGTAGATCCTCCACTTGTGGTATTCTCTGATCACTACCTCGATCCTACGCTTCCAGTAGCTGCCTTCTAGAACTATAGCCTTACAAGAGAAAACAAAAAACATAGGAGTTAATATTAGTTGATGTTAAATGGGTATGTCCTATTCCCTACATAGTGCATAGTTTTCATCGTCCGTATAAGACGTATTTTCGACCTCTGAAAAATAGGTATTTTAACCTTACTCAGACAACAACAAAAGTAGCCCAATTAGTGGGAGGGATGGGGGCATCTTTTTGTTGCGCGCGGTGCTCAGGTTTATAAGGTCTGTCAGTCAAAACCTATACAGTGCTGTTAAATGGAGAACCTGAGCTCTGACGTAATGTATAGCATGTTACTGTACAGCCACTGTGTCACGACTTCCGCCGAGGCTGCCTCCCCTCCTTGTTCGGGCAGGTTTCGGCGTTCGTCGTCACCGGCTTACTAGCTACTGCCGATCCCATTCGCATCACTCCACTTGTCTTGTCTTGTCAATCACACACACCTGGTGCTCATTCCCCTAATTAGTATGTGTATAAGTGTTCCCTCTGTTCCCCTTGTCTTTGTGAGTGATTGTTTATTGTGAGAGCGAGTAGCTCGGTTAATATTAGTTGATGTTAAATGGGTAAGTCCTATTCCCTACATAGTGCACTACTTTTGACGAGAGCCTTATGGGCCCTGCTCAAAAGCAGTGCACTATATCGGCTACTTCCTCACTAGGCCTTGGGGGTCAAAGGTCACCTACTTCAGGTTTGCGATGGGCGTCGGCCTCGGAGCCCTCCAGGGGGGTGACGAACCCACACACAGGGTTCTTCCTCTTCTCCACGTCTGTACCACGGGACGGGCGAGAAACAACTAATCATTCAATCATGGCTTGGATTAATGGTTCAATTCTCTCAATAAATCAGTCAATTCTATTTGTTTTTTTGTGTGTTTTCTTTCCAAATGTGGCTTCAGCATTATGTACATAAAGTAATGGCACACTCATTAGTATGTTATGGCATAGGAAGCTGTACACTGCATCGTGTTAAAATTAATTCAGCCCACATTGTACAGTAGTTTTTGTAGGAGGCATCCCACTCAAGCTATTCTCTTTGTTGTGTGACAGTACTGTAGTAACAAGTCCATGTATCAGTTCTGTTGGACAAAGCTCTCCCTGTCTGTTATCAGATTAAACAACCGTGGGACATGCAAGCTGCTCAGAGTGAAAGAATGGAGTGAGATGAGAGAGAGGATGAATGGAATTACATTTTAATCATTTAGCAGACACTCTTATCCAGAGCAACTTACAGTAGCAAGTGCATACATTTTTGTACTTTTTCGTAGTGGTCCCCCGGTGGGAATCAAACCCACAACCTTGGCATTGCAAGCGCCATGTTCTACCAACTGAGCTACACAGGAATGAGAGGATAGGAGAGGAGAGAAGTGAGAGGAAAAGTGAACTTACACTGGATGAACCAGGCTCTCCAGATCCCATTATTCAGACGGATTTTGTCTCTCCAGAGCAGCCGCAGGCCTTTGAAAGACTTCCACTTCGGAGAGACTATTTTACCACTGAAAAGACATAACATAATCCTTATAATCACACAAAATAAAGGAATTTAGACATTATAAAGGCTCATATACATGCTTATAACAAGTAACAAAGCATTATACCTCTAAGCTTTAAGTAACATTTTACCGTCAATGTAATTCGTGTCCCACTACAAGATATTCTATTTATTAGGAAGGAATGGTTATGTTATGACCACCTTGGGCAAAGTTTCCTTCCCTCCCATTTACAAAGAGAGACAGAGAGACAAGCAATTGACAGAGTTAATGATTGTCAAAAACACAAAGACAAGATTACAAGCAGAGGATAAATATTAGAGATACAGAAACTTGATGCTCTATTCTATTCTATTCTATTCTCCACATATCATCCAGCATTGACAGAAGATGTCCAACTAAAAAAATCTACAATATATGAAAGGACCAGTCCTCTGCCTCATATTTAAAAACAAGAGCAATGAAACTTTTTTTTTTTATGCTGCCTCTTTCTTTGACATTATCATTTCCACACAGCCCTGATGGCACCCAATCAGAGGAGCCTATCCACCAGAACACTGACAGGGTCTGTGTCTAAAATGGCACCCTCTTCCCTAAATAATGTTCTACTTTTGGTGCACTATATAGGGAATAGGATGCCACTGAGGTAAAAAAAATCAGGCTGTTTTCGACCCTGTGTCTTTCCAGTGTCAGACTGAGACAGTCAGCATATCAGATGGTGAGAAGGGGCCACTTAATGGCTGGTGCTTATTGGGTTGCTAGGAAGCCAGGTGAATCATTTCCTAGCGCTGGATGCTGGATGATGTCAAATGACTAAAGTGAAAACCCACGTTCAGCAAAACAGCAGAGGAGGCACATTAACCAGGTACAAATTGACTTCATGAAGCTAATGGGTTAAATAAACCATGACATTCACCCATCTAGAGGGTGACTTATAAATGTTCTCTGTAAAATATTGTTTTATCAAGGTACCTGACATAAGCGATGCTGTTAACAGCTTACAAAAAAAAGCTAACACTAAGATGTCTCTGAGAAACTGTTTGAAAAAGCAATGTTCATTAGCTCCATCAGTGGACATTCAAAATAAATAACAATTCCTGTGCTAATAGTGTGTATCCTTTCAGATTCAGTGCTGCATTTGACAAGAGCTATATTTTGTTTAAACTGATACAGGACACATTAATTGATTGATTATGCTTGAAGATTGATTGATTGGTTATGCTAGTACACTTGAAGACCAATTGTTGAATCCTTAGCATGATTAAATATTCCTAGTTTACTTCCTCAATCAAAGTAAGGTCTGTCGCTGAATATAGTCTAGTAAACACCTGAAACATGGTTTTAGTAGCAGTCTTTAGGGCTGCAGAATTTTTCTTGGCTCTGGTTGTGTGTGTTTTATTCATGGAGCAACAATCAGATTGTAAAAGCTAGATTGGAGTAGTTGGAAGAAGAGACTTCCTCTCTCTGCCAAGGATTGTTGATGGCATGGCATGACACACACACACACACACACACACACACACACAAACACTGACGACATTGTTCGGGCAGTTCTAGAGGCCATGACACACTGGCAATTTTTTTAAGCAATATTGCTAAGCAATGTTGGTGGCAACAGACACTGGAGCAATGAGTAACATGGACATAAATAATAGATTTCATATGAAGCATAGATCAATTTAAAACGTAATTTCCCCATTTATTTACTCATCTCCTATTGCTTGTTATTGCCAGTTGACTGCCACAGCTGTACTGAAATTAATCAGCTAAGAAACAAGCAATAAAGAGGTGCCAGTCAAGTCAATGGCAATGCAGACATAAAGATAACTAAATTTAGCAAACATCTAACGTCATAATCATAAGATAGTAAGATGTGAATGGTTTTAAGCTAACTAGCGAACTAGTTAAACATACAAAACGGAAAGCTAAATGTAAATGGCTATAGCTAGCTAACAATCTACGAGGCTAGCTAGCTAACAATCTACGAGGTTAGCTAGCTAGCTAATTTAACCAGTTTGTCCCATTGACTTTGCATGAGCTCCGGTTAGCATGCTAACCGATTAGCATGCACCCAACCATGGATATTTTCATCAGTTAAACATGACAAACTGTACACAGTATGTACAGTGCATTCGGAAAGTATTCAGATCCCTTTACATTTTCCACATTTTGTTACATTACAGCCTTATTCTAAAATTGATTAAATTGTTTTTTACCCCTCATCAATCTACACACAATACCCCATAATGACAAAGCCAAATCAGGTTTTTAGAAATGTTTGCTAATTTATTAAATATAAAAAACTGAAATATTACATTTACATAAGTATTCAAACCTTTTACTCAGTACTTTGTTGAAGCACCTTTGCCAGCAATTACAGCCTCAAGTCTTCTTGGGTATGACGCTACAAGCTTGTTACACCTATATTTGGGGAGTTTGTCCCATTCTTCTCTGCAGATCCTCTCAAGCTCTGTCAGGTTGGATTGGGAGCGTCGCTGCACAGCTATTTTTAGGTATCTCCAGATATGTTAGATTGGGTTCAAGTCTGGGCTCTGGCTGGGCCACTCAAGGACATTCAGAGACTTGTCCTGAAGCCAGTCCTGCGTTGTCTTGGCTGTGTGCTTAGGGTCATTGTCCTGTTGGAAGGTGAACCTTCGCCCCAGTCTGAGGTCCTGAGTGCTCTGGAGCAGGTTTTCATCAAGGATCTCTCTGTACTTTGCTCCGTTCATCTTTCCTGACTAGTCTCCCAGTCCCTGCCACTGAAAAACATCCCCACAGCATTGATGCTGCCACTACCATGCTTCACCTTAGGGATGGTGCCACCATGCTTCACCATAGGGATGGTGCCAGGTTTCCTCCAGGTGTGACGCTTGGCATTCAGGCCAAAGAGTTCAATCTTCGTTTCATCAGACCAGAGAATATTGTTTCTCATGGTCTGAGAGTCTTTAGGTGCCTTTTGGCAAACTCCAAGCGGACTGTCATGTGCCTTTTACTGAGAAGTGGCTTCCGTCTGGCCAATTTACCACAGGTGGACTCCAATCAAGTTGTAGAAACATCTCAAGGATGATCAATGGAAACAGGATGCACCTGAGCTCAATTTCGACTCTTAGCAAAGGTTCTGATTACTAAAAACCTGTTTTCGCTTTGTCATTATGGGGTATTGTGTGTAGATTGATGAGGATGATTATTTTTTAAATCCATTTTAGAATAAGGCTGTAACGTAACAAAATGTGGAAAAAGTCAAGGTGTCTGAATACTTTCCGAATGCACTGTATGTATTAACATATGATGATCATATATTGTAGTGAGAAAATATTTTAGAATGGCAGACTGATCACATGACCAATATCTGTGCTCTGATTGGAGGATTTGTAAAAAGCTGCCCACTAGGTAGCGCTGCAGATCAAAATTCCCCAGTTAATAATATGATACATGGCCATTTTTTTAGGCAACAAATTGCGGCCAATTGAATTGCGGTTATGGCTAGAAGGGATCCAACTTTTGTCAAAGATGATATTTTTTGCATTTTTGCTAACCCTAACCTTTTCTTAACCTTAACCTAATTCTCCTGACCTGCTACCTTAATTCTCCTAAAATGCTGCGTAAATTCTCCTAACCTGCTCCGAAATTCAAATCTGATGTTAATTTGACAAAAGCTGGATCCCTTCTAGCCATGACCCAATACAATTTTGTTGAGCAATGTTGCCAGCAATGGTTGCTGCAACTATATTTACATTGAAAATTAGCAACTTTTTATTCTCTGGGGACTCTTGACCGGCAGCTCCACCTAGTTGGCAATTTGTAGGAATCCTCCAATCAGAGCACAGATATTGGTAACGTGATCAGTCTGCTCTTCCAAAAGATTTAGAAAAACATGGCGACCGTTTTTGAGCTGAAGTGAGAGAAAATCAACTCACATGTTGGAATGAAATGTTGGCCATTTACATCCAAAATGTTGCTCCACTACAATATTAAATCATGATACTGTACGTTAATACATACATACTACGTTCAGTTTGTCATGTTTAACTACCGAAAATATCCACGGTGGTGCGCATGCTAATCGATTAACCACAACCCATGCTAAGTCAATGGGACAAACAGGCTAATTCGCTATCTAGCTAGTCATGTAGATTTTACATTTCGTTTTTCGTTTTATATAGTTTTTTTATATATATATTTAACTAGCTGGCTAGCTTGATGAATACCGTTTGCACTTCCTAGCTTAGAATTGTGAAGTAAAACGTTTTCTAAATCTATTTACCCTTATGTCTTTGTTGTCATTGACTTGACTGGCAGTAGGTTGAGTGGATGCCCTGAGCAGGGGCAACACCTCTTTGTTGCTTGTTTGTTAGCTGATAAAATCCAGTACATATGTGGCTGTCAACAAAAAGGAAAGGGAAAGGGCTGTAGGAGATTCGTAAATAAATGGTGAAATTGAGTTTTAAGTTGATATATGCCTAATATGTAATCTATTATTAATGTCCATGTTGCTCATTGCTCATCATTGCTCCAGTGTCTCATACATTTACGTCATACCCAACTCCATTGCCAGCAACATTGCATGGCAATATTGGCCCCGAAAATTGACAGTGTATCATAAAACTATTTTGTCAAGTATTCTTGTCTCATTCCTTCCTTTATCATTCCTGATGATGGTGAAAATATTTTGTGGACATTTGTGAGTCGCTATCTGTCCATTACTCAGCCAAGAACAGTTGCTTTCTCAATTGAAGGTGTGCAACAATGTTGGACACTGTACATACTGTATACTGTCTATCAACCAGCGGTTGTTAAATCATTTTGATAACAAATATTTGTGATGTAACTGATTCACAGAAAGGGCAGTGCTAATAATAATGTATAGACTAATCAGCAGTGAAATCTCCTGCAGCATGCCAAAGTCCCTGTTTGTTGGTATCAGCTTGTATTCTTCATTACAAAAGGAAAAACACTGAATGTAGGGTAAGGGGATAGAGGTGAGCTAGCAGGCACAGGGTCTTTG